TGAGTGACATGTCTCTTTTTTAGTAGAAGATCAGGATCCTTCTTAAGTTGTTCCTGCACGCTAGACTGATAGATCATAGCTATGCTTTCTGAGCTTGTACAGGATTTGGCTCGTTCTTTCAGCTCGTGCAGCTGAGGGCAAATGCCTGACTCCACATGTCTGCGAAGTTGATGCATTGTGCGCAACTGCCTGTTGCATGCCGCACATTGCGGAAGTCCTTTGCAGCTATGCACAGTGACCTGAAATTTTGGGCCTAGCTGATTCGCACGCTGTCCTCCATGCTTCACCAGAGTATGTTGCTGAAGACCCTTAGCGCTGGAAAATTTCCGATCGCACAGAGAGCACGGTACCTCCTGGTCTGCCTCGATCAGGTCCAAATGCATGCTCTGAAGCTCCTGTTGCAGCGCAACAATCCTACCTCTAAGTCCCAGATGCCACTGTATGTTCTGATCCGGGTTGGACTTCTGACAGGCATCTAGTGCGTCTTGATAGTTTTTCATCTGGCTGATCAAAACTGCTTGAGGAGTCTGAACCTTGTATTGCTCGAACAGAGTCTTCGTGTCAATATGGCTGTAGTGCTGATGTTGCTTAAAGATGGATCTTAGCATCCTCGAGTATTTACTCTGAAGCTTCTGAAGACCTGACAAGAACAACAAGAACAACAAGAACAACAAGAACAACAAGAACAACAAGAACAACAAGAACAACAAGAACAACAAGAACAACAAGAACAACAAGAACAACAAGAACAACAACAAGAACAGCAACCCCAACAGGAACCACAACAACACCAACAACAACAATAACAACAGCAACAACAACAACAACAGCAACAACAACAACAACAACAACACCAACAGCCACAGCCACAACAACAACAACAACAACAACAACAACAACAACAACAACAACAACAACAACAACAGCAGCAACCACACCAACACCAACACCAACAACAACAACAACAGCAGCAACAACAACAACAACAACAACAGCAGCAACAACAACAACAACCACAACCACAACCACAACAACCACCACAACAACCACCACAACAACCACCACAGCAACAACAACAACAACAACAAACAAACAAACAAACAAACAAACAAACAAACAAACAAACAAACAAACAAACAAACAAACAAACAAACAAACAAACAAACAAACAAACAAACAAACAAACAAACAAACAAACAAACAAACAACAACAACAACAAACAACAGCAACAACAGCAACATCAGCAACATCAGCAACACCAATAGCAACAGCAACAGCAACAGCAACAACAACAAGAACAACAAGCGCGCGAAGCGCGCGAAGCGCGCGAGGCGCGCGAAGCACGTGAAGCGCGCGAAGCCCGCGAAGCGCGCGAAGCGCGCGAAGCGCGCGAAGCCCACGAGGCCCGCGAAGCGCGCGAAGCCCGCGAAGCGCGCGAAGCGCGCGAGGCGCGCGAAGCGCGCGAGGCGCGCGAAGCGCGCGAGGCGCGCGAAGCCCGCGAAGCGCGCGAGGCGCGCGAACGCGCGCGAGGCGCGCGAAAGCACGTGAAGCGCGCGAAGCCGCGAGGCCCGCGGAGCGCGCGAAGCTCGCGAGGCGTGCGAAGCGCGCGAAGCGCGCGAGGCCCCGTGAGGCCGCGAAGCGCGCGAAGCGCGCGAAGCCCGCGAGGCGCGCGAAGCGCGCGAGGCCCGCGAGGCCCGCGAAGCGCGCGAAGCGCGCGAAGCCCGCGAAGCCCGCGAGGCGCGCGAAGCGCGCGAGGCCCGCGAAGCGCGCGAAGCAGCGGAGGCGCGCGAAGCGCGCGAAGCGCGCGCGCGCGCGCGCGTAGGGCGGCCCCCAGGCGGACCATAGTCCTTGAATCGGACCTTTTTGCTGTGGTTTGCAACGCGGGATTTGATGGAGCCAGTTTTCAAATTTGCAAGGCCAGACGTTATCTCGAACTACATGAGGCTTGTTTGGCGGCTTCTTCGCGTGCCAGATCGTCCGTTGGGCGAGCAACGCTGGAGGGCGACTGATGCCCAGCTGGTCGGGGACTCCTGCTACTTGTTCTGGTCTGGGCACAGTATGCGTCATTTCCTGCCGACGCTGGCCGCAGTTTTTGGGGAGCCAAAAGAGCGTCGGGACTACCTGGGACGTTGGCATGTGGGCCTTCATCAGAGCGCGGATTACTTGCATACTTGCAGACAGATCGTTCATGATGTCCAGGGATTGGTTTGTGATAAGTTATCTGGGGGAAAGCCTGGGTACGATGAGGATGAGTTGTTTGGACAACTGGAGAGACCGGGGCGAAGACCCCGCACCCCTGCTTAGGCCACTTCGCATTTTGCGAAATGTGCGGGGCTATCGTGTCCTCAACCAGAAATGGCCGCTGATTGGGAAGGCTCGTTCCTGAGCCACCGGTGGTGGTGGCTAATGGCAATGGAGAGGGGGAGTCCTAGACAATGTGAAGACGAGACACGCGATACAGTAGACCCACATGCAATCTCAGGTTGGGCGGATGTCTGGGTGGTTTTGCATGCCTGCCACGTTTGCATGTTCATCATGGCAGTGTTGTGGCTCGCAGTAGCCCAGACATTGTTGCCTCACAGCTGAAAGGCCCAATCTCCTGGAATGGCTGGAGGCGCCTGCCCGAACTCAAACTTGTTATTTTTGCGTCTCATGTTCAGAGGGATGCGCCCGGAGGTTCCGGAAATGTGTGCCATGTGCATGGTTTCCAGGGAAGCCATCGATGTGCAGGCAGGAGGTGTTAGTGCGCTGTTGGGCAGTCCCCGATGGGGTTCGAGCGGTGCCTCGTCACGTGCCGATAAGCAAGCTTGTCCGCCAGATATCGGCGCTGCCAAAGTTGGGTTGCAAGTTCTGAAAGCTTTGGAAAAGCAACGGGTGCCGGGCCGTGCAGGTCATGGCTCGGCACGTGGTGGAGACCGGCAGCTTTAGCAGGCCAGGTGGGCCAACTCTGGCCGGTCTGTCCCTACGGCCCTACGGATGAACCGTCCCGATCCCCTCCACACCATTACTTGCTTCTGTAAACTTGGATTCCAATCTCCGATTTGCACGCCCTATTTTGACCAATGCTGTCTACGTTGCAGGTCAGAAGATGTGGTCTTCCACGTGAATGCAGCGGCTGGCCAGTGTGGCCGGTCGGTTGCGCAGAGGAAGCGATTCCAGTGCGACTTGGTTGTGTTGGTTGCTTGTGTGATGAGTGAAAGTTCCCTTGGTGTCCTCATCTCAGATCCCCGATTTCCAGCAGTTCTGTCTGCTCTCAACCCGAGGCCAGTCGCTGCACCTGCGCTTTCAATGTTGTTGGCGACGGTGCCCAAGCCTGGCAGATGGTTTGATCGAAAAGTTAGCGGAGTTTGGCCTATCAGAGGACCTTGTGGTGTGCAAAGCTGCGCACGCCGTACTGCGGACTTGCGCAAAACATCACCTGCGAAAGCGCCGGGTGTGGGAAGCTTTGCTGCGCTTGCTGGAGAGTTTGGTCCCAACATCAGGCACATCTTGGCTAAGAACCAAGCTGGCCTTGGCTGTCGTTTTCCCGAGTGGCAGCACGCTCTGCCGCTGCGAATGGATGCACCGCCGGCCCTGGGTTTTTGTGCTTTTCAGGATTCTGTCGCAGCAGAAGATCCACAAGTGCCAGAAGTATTGCGCGGCAGGAATCAGGGTCCTTTGTTCTCCTGGTTGTGCGGCGTATTCCCGGCAGGAGCTGCGGGAGGCAGCAGCAATGTCGCCCGAACCCGTGAGGGCCGAACTTCTGGAGCTGATGGAGCGAAGTGCAGATGGCGGCAAGACACACCGTGGCAATACGCACTTTTCTCCTTGAGGCGTGCGTGGGGAATCTCGTCATATACAGCTCGGCGATCAGTGCCTGTCGGTCTGTTGTTTTGGTTTGGCGCAGTGCTCCTGTTGTCAACATTGCCGTTCGGTCGCCTAGAGCCCGAAACGGTATTGTGCAGCTCTGCAAGATGGCAACAAGCACTTCCCCTAGATGAGATGCATCAAGCCATTGTGCAGAAAGAACGGATTTGATCCTTTAAAAATCAGCGATCAGCGCTTGAGAGAAGAGTGGTGAGTAGCAGCAGTGGGACTCTGGCCGCGTGAAGCATCTGTCACCGGAGGCATCAAAGCACGTGGAAACATTACCATAACTTTCACTGCTGTGATCGGTGCTTGTGAAATTCCGGACTTTGGGATCCGGCATTGGCATGTCTCCAAGACCTGGTCCAGGCCGAGCTGCAGCCCGATGTCATCACATACAGTGTCCTACAGACCACGTGTCAGAAGTTCAGAAGGCATGTCGGTGGCGTACGGCCGTCGCTTTGTTTCCGGAGCTGCATGGTCTGAAGTTAGAGTTAGAGGCAGCTCTCGTGACCTACTCGGTGCCTTTGAAAGCTTCGGTTGCCGTGGGCCACTGACGCTCTGCACAGAACCTGTGCTTTGAGCTGCCGGAACGGGAAAGCTGATCACCTCTGAGCTAGCGGGGACTGGCGGTTGCGGCGAGCACAAGGGCATGTCTTGCAGCACTGCATGAAAAGACTGTCCAGAGTCCCGCAGAAGGGCTTGGACATCTTGCAGAGGCAAAGATGTGGTCAAAGCTCGTAAAATTTCCTGCTGGGTGCTGGGGAGTGTTTCCGCTCAGGAGGAGGAGGAGGAGGAGGAGGAGGAGGAGGAGGAGGAGGAGGAGGAGGAGGAGGAGGAGGAGGGAGGAGGGGAGAGAGGAGGGGAGGAGGGAGGAGGAGGAAAGGAGGAGGAGGAGAGGGAGGAGGAGGAGGAGGAGTGGAGGGTGGTAGTGGTAGTGGAGTGGTAGTGGTAGTGGTAGTGGTAGTGGTAGTGGTAGTGTGGTAGTGGTAGTGGTAGTGGTAGTGGTAGTGGTAGTGGTAGTGGTAGTGGTAGTGGTAGTGGTAGTGGTAGTGGTAGTGGTAGTGGTAGTGGTAGTGGTAGTGGTAGTGGTAGTGGTAGTGGTAGTGGAGTGGGAGTGGGAGTGGGAGTCGGAGTCGGAGTCTTGCAAGACATGGTCCGCGAAACAAAGCAAGACTCATTTGTAAACGGTTCCATCGCAAATACCTGTCTACCTTTTTATGGCATAGTGTTGTCCCAGGCAAAGTTTCTAGCATACTTATATCCTAAACCTTAAGCCCTAGCCCTAAACCCTAAACCCTAAACACTAAACCCTAAAACCCTAAATTCACCAGCGTTTTTCCCCGCAAGAAGCACTTCCACCCCCTTTTGGCGGGGATCATTGAGTGCCATGAAAGCATCGACGACAATGTCTCCAGCAGACTTTTCTGACAAACGCTGGCTGCTGTTGATGCTGCATCTCAGCCCAACCTTTAAATCCTTTAAAGCCTTAAGCCCTGCTCGCAACTTCGACACCGATGTTGCATTCGTTGATCTTTCACCTGGGCACTTCCCAAAATAGGGGCACCCCTTGTATACCCCAAATAGAATATAGTCCCCTTAAAAGGTACCCCCCCCCATTCTCGGAAACCCCCATAGTGTAATAGGATTAGGGTCCTTAGCTTCCGTCTTCAGCATTGAGCACCTTGTACGGGGTGCAGTCAGGGACGATGCGTGGTTGCCATCTGGGCGTTGGGCTGGGGGTTACGGCTTAGGGCTTAGGATGTAGGGTTTAGGGCTTCGGGCTGAAAATGTCTTGAGGGCTTCCGGCTGAGGGTTTAGGGATCGTGGAGCTTGATTCTGGCACACCTCAGAGCCAGCCGTGCCTTACTGCGACTCACAAGTCCCTGCAGCAAAAGTTCGAAGTCCAGACCCGAAATGCTAAAGCCTTTAGGGGTGTAGGGTTTAGGGTTTAGGGTTTAGGGGGGTTTTCAGGGGAGCCCGCTCAGGACTGGCGCGCTGGGTGCAGGAAGCGTGTCGGTGGTTGCTGTATCCCTCGTGGGCTTCGCCTTCAACAGGCCGTGCACGTCTCCTCAAGGGCAGGCCATCGGATACACTGGGTGCTTCGACTGGTCTGACTGGCTCTTGTCCATGCTTGCAATCCTGGCTGCCTTCGTGAGCATAGGTTTCATTGAGCATGCAACCTCCGCAGCGATCTGCGCCATCAGCAAGCACCGCGTGGAGGGGATCTCCGCCTTGGCGGTGCTGGAAGTCTTCTGTCTCGCCTGTGCGTTGGCGGCGCTGTGCTTGTTGGCGAAGCCCTGGGAGACGTACCAAACCTACGAGGATGGCCGGACCAAGTCGGTGGATGAGTGGTCCATCGATGTCTGGATGGTGTTCTTAGGCTACAGCGCTGTGTTTGCTTTCGGAGCCTTGGCAACGGCGCTCGCCCTGGTGCTGAGGAACGTGCTCGTCAAGCCCTGGCAGCGAGATTCGGGTGACATGCCGGATGTGGAGACCAGCTCCGACGGCAGCGGAAGTACTTAGTGCTTGATCAAGCAAGCTTTGACTATTTGGGTTTGGGGTAGTGTAATTGCATGTACTGAGTTCCTTTACAATTTAACTTTCGCAGCATCGTTTACGGCTAAGGGTTTTGAGGAGTCGCGTGAAAGGTCGGGGGTGGCATGTATTTCCGGTCTGTGCCAGCGAAGAAAGACCATCCAAAGCCCTTCTTCAGAGGGCTTCTAAATCTAGTGTTTAGGGTAGCCTGTATCTTTGATTTTAAATCCGAGCACCTGTTTAATTGGCCCCCCCCCCCCCCGCGCCGCAATAAGGGACCATGGCCCTGCATTGATTCCCTATCAAAACAATAGGCTGCAGATCCCTGAGGTGCTGTAGCTTCACATCTCCGCAAGCAAAACAAGAAGCCTGCCGACAGATTTTTGGACCCCCCCCGAAAACAATTTCTTTAAATGTGGGGGTTTTCCCCATACGAAATCCCCCCTAATGGAAAGTAGTCTTCCGGCGGGCTTCCGGACAAAACAAATCTTTAAATGTGGGGGTATTAATTCAACAGGTGCTCGGACTAATGGGCTTGATGCGAGCGATCCTTGCAGGCAGGAGCGATGCAAGCTACACGGCTTCCTCAACAGCTTCCACACCGCTTGTGAGGTCCCGGAGCTTTCTGCTGGCCTTTGTCCTCGCCTTCCTCTGGTCGTGCTTCCTGTTCACGGCCGTGGTGACGCCCATTTGGAACTTCTCCATGAACTCCTACTTCAAGAGCGCCTCACGGCTCTCGCTGCTTTCAGCTTGACTTTTTGCTGGTTGGCTTCTGTGGGCAGTTCTCTGAATTCGGGGTGGTCTCTTCTAGCATTGATTGCTGTATTTTAGGGGTATGTTGGGGGGAAACTAGGGTTAACCCTAAACTTTTTTTTTGAAACACCCGTATGGGAGAGTGAGCCTTCGACTTTTCGATCCTTTCGGCCCTTGGGGCCCTTGTTAGCCCCGAGAAGTTCGATAAAATAGGGGCTCCCTGAAACAAAGCCTCAGAGGAGACAGCGAATGGAATCTTTTTGAGAACCTTTGCAGTCCCTACCAAGGGAGTGCAGAGATCTTGCTGGACCTTAGCGCGAACCCAGCCCGAAGCCCTGAATCCTGAGCCTTCATAGCTAGCCCCCAAACCCAAATCCGTAAACCCCAAACCCTAAACCCCAAACCCCAAAACCTTAAACATCACGAAACCCTAAAAATCCAAAGCGCCAAAACCCCTAAAAACCTCCAAAGCCCCAAAACCGCAAAGCCCCAAGACCCCAAAAGCCCCAAAACCCCAAACCCCTAACCCTTAAACCCCAAACCCTTAAACCCTCAAACCCTGAAACCCTAGCCCCCTGAAACCCCTGAAAAGCCCTAAAACCCTAAAACCCTGAAACCCAGAACCCCTGAACCCCAGAAACCCCTGAACCCTAGACCCTAAACCCGAGCCTAAAACCCGAGGGCCTTGAACCCGAGGTCTCCCAATACGCGCTGTTCTACTGGCCTGTGGGTGAGCTGCCCTGCTCCCTCCTTGACGCGGAGGCCTTCCCCCCACTTTGGTTTTTAGGGTTCTCACAGGGTTTCCAAACCAGCTTCGCAGTTCCTTTTTTGTGCTTTTTTATTTTATTTTTTTCGGGGGGGGGGGGGGGGGGGGGGGGGGGGTGGGCGGTTTCCGGTTGAGGTTTCCTAGGTGATTTTTGAGGGTGTGTGGGCTTTTGGATTTTCGGGGACTTTCCTATAAGCCCTAAACCCTAAACCCTAAACCCTAACCCCTAGACCCCAAAACCCCCAAACCCCTAAACCCCTAAGAGTGCTTCAGGGCTTAAGAGCTCTGGGAAGGCCAGCTGCGTGGGCAACGGCCTGTGCCGGGACCGCCGCCAGCAATGGGTTTAGGGTCTAGGGTTTGGGGAGGTGGGCATGGTTTAGGGTTTAGGGTTTAGGGTTTAGGGTCTAGGGTTTAGGGTTTAGGGTTTAGGGTTTAGGGTTTAGGGTTTAGGGTTTAGGGTTCAGGGTTAAGGGTTTAGGGTTTTGAGAGGGTTCCGCAAGGCTTTTCGAAGGTTTTAGGTTCTTTCGGGGCGTTCTTAACGGTTCTTTTTCGGAAATGAGGGAGTTGGGTACCTCATACCCCCCTATGTACTCCCGACTTCCTTGATTACCTACAAGTTTCGGGTGAGTGCAATTCAGCAGGATTTTGGGGTAGGGTTTTCAGGAGGTCCATTTTGTGGTCAACCTTCACGGGCTTAGGGTTTAGGGTATTCTTGAGAATGGTTGAAAGGTAGAGCTAGATGTTCCTGTAGGAGCAGAGTTTGCAGGGACACTAGGAAGGACGTCCGCCGAGGGCTGCGAGTACAGGTTTGTTGACTTACGAAGCCTGAACCCCCAACTACGCCGTAACGCCTAGACCCAAAGAACTCCTGAACAAATCTCAAGAACTTCCCCCTAAACCCGAAGCCCTAAGCCCTAACCCCCTAGACCCTAAACCCTAAACCCTAACCCCTAAACCCTAAACCTCTCTTTTTTTTTTTTTAATATATATATATATATATATATATATATATATAAACCCTAGTGGGTTTCGTGGACGAAGGCACAAATATTCGTGGGCAAGGCACAAAAACTCGTGGGCACGGCACAAAAATTCGTGGACAAGGCACAAAAATTCGTGGACAAGGCACATTTCGGATTTTTGGGCCCTTGGGCAAGGCTTAAAACCCCAAAATGTGCCTTGCCCACGAATGTTTGTGCCTTGTCCACGAATTTTGTGCCTTGCCCACGAATATTTGTGCCTTTGCCCACGAAATTTTGTGCCTTGCCCACGAATTTTCGGGCACGTAACTTGGTGGCAAGGCACAAAAATTCGTGGGCAAGGCACCAAAATTCGTGCGCAAGGCACAAAAATTCGTGGGCAAGGCACAGGCACAAAAACTCGTGGGCAAGGCACAAAAATTCGTGGGCAAGGCACAAAAATTCGTGGGCAAGGCACAAAAATTCGTGGGCAAGGCACGAAAATTCGTGGGCAAGGCACACCCCCCCCCCCCCCCCCCCCACCCCCCCCCCCCCCCCCCCCCCCCCACCCGGCCCACCCCCCCCCCCACCCCCCCCCCCGGCCCCCCCCCACTCCCCCCCCACCCCCCGCCCCGCCCACCCCCCCCCCCCCCTCCCCCACCCCACCCCCCCCCCCCTTCACCCCCCCCACCCCACAAAAATTCGTGGGCAATTCGTGGGCAATTTCGGGGTTGGTTGGGCAAGGCTTAAAGCCTCAAAATGTGCCTTGCCCACGAATTTTTGTGCCTTGCCCACGAATTTTGTGCCTTGCCCACGAATATTTGTGCCTTTGCCCACGAAATTTTGTGCCTTGCCCACGAATTTTCCTGCACACAAATTGGTGGCAAGGCACCAAAATTCGTGGGCAAGGCACCAAAAATTCGTGGGCAAGGCACCGAAATTCGTGGGCAAGGCACAAAAAGTGGTGGGCAAGGCACAAAAATTCGTGGGCAAGGCACAAAAATTCGTGGGCAAGGCACAAAAATTCGTGGGCAAGGCGCAAAAATTCGTGGGCAAGGCACGTTCCCACCCCAACTTTTGTATGAAAATACTTTATGGTTTCTGAATGTTATGGGATTCTCTGGGTGGGTGGGTGTTATATCCGAGCCGTAAATCTGCTCGATCCGGAGCTGCTGAACCCTAAACCCTAAACCCTAAACCCCATCTGCACAAAGGAGATTTCCCACTGGCTACCAGGATTCCAACCCGGAGTTGAAGCTTTGCTGCATCAGGGCCGGGTGTACAGGGTGTTTATCCAAACCCTAAGCCCTAAACCCTAAAACCCTAAAACCCTAAAACCCTAAACCCTAAACCCTAAACGACCCCATACCCGAGACCCGAAACTTGTGGGTTTGCGGGGAGTGTCATGTCTGAGATGTCTTTTGGGTTTCTTAAGGGTTGTTTAGGTCCGTCAGGGTCCTTTAGGGTCCCTCAGGGTCTTCTATTTGGGGTCTTCAGGGTCCTTTAGGGTCCTTTAGGGTTCTTTAGGGATTTTTTTTTTGGGGGGGGGTAAAAGCTTTTGTGCCCTTTGCAGTGCAGGAAGCTGCTGGTCGAGAGCACTGAGAAACCCCGAAAGGCTTAAACTTGTCGGGTTTAGGTTTGGGTTTTACGGCTAAACGTTTCGGGTCGAGGGACCCTGAACCCCCAAACCCCAAATTCTAAACCCCATAAGCCCTAAGCCCTGAACTCATTCGTTGGCCAAGGACGCGTGCCCGTGGTTCTCGCTTAAGCCTTTTCCGGACTGCGTCCTGCAACTGGGAAGCAGCGTGTGGTGAAGAGTGCCTGCCGAATCTTAATGTCGGGCTTAGGATTTAGCAGCAGGTAATCCCTAAACCGTACACCCTAAACCCTAAACCTTAAACCCTAAACCCTAAACCCTCAACCCGAAACCCTAAACCCGAAACGCTTTCAAGCTTTAAATATCCCTGCGCCCCCAAACTTCAATAGCTTCAGCATGAACATTTCACCAGCAGAGCCTGTTCTTGAACCTCAAAAGAAAGGAATATAAGGAATACTTACTCATAGTATTCCCTTATGGTCCCTATACAATTATACTATAATAGCCCCCAAAACACTAATCTAATTATGAAGGCCTCTACATGAAGGGTTCGGAGCCCTGCATTCGAAGCCCGAAACCCTGGGACCCTAAACCCTAAACCCTAAACCCTAAACCCTAAACCCTAAACCCTAAACCCTAAACCCTAAACCCTAAACCCTAAACCCTAAACCCTAAACCCTGAAGGCTCTACCCCAAGGCCCCCAAGGCCTACTTTGAAGTGCACCCACCACCTGTTTAGGATCCGTGGATTAGGGTTTAGGGTTTAGGGTTTAGGGTTTCTTCTTGGTCTTCGGGATCACAGCTGCGCAGTCCCAATTCCCGTCAACTCCTGAAACAATTCATCCGAAACCCCCCAAAACCTTCCAAGACCTTTGTTCAAGGACTGAGGGTTCAACGGTTTAAGTGCTTAGGGGTTGAGGGGCTTAGGGGTTCCGGGTGTTTAAGGGTTCAAGGGTTCAAGGGTTCAAGGGTTTAAGGGTTCAAGGGTTCAAGGGTTCAAGGGTTTAAGGGTTTAAGGGTTTAAGGGTTTAAGGGTTTAAGGGTTTAAGGGTTCAAGGGTTCAAGGGTTTAAGGGTTTCCGCCAAGTTACTATGGTTTCCTCACGCTCTGCGTCCTCTGCGGCGCGGTCATCCACACGAAGCCGCTGTCTTGGCCACCTGGGCTGACGAGTGACCCGAAGTTTGGAACCCATCCACCCTGGACCCTAAACCCTAAACGCTAAACCCCAAACCCTAAACCCTAAACCCCAAACCCTAAACCCCAAACCCCAAACCCTAAACCCTCAACCCTAAACCCTAATCCCTAAACCCTAAACCCTAAACCCTAGGGTGTGGGGTTTAGGGTTCAAAGTGTAGGGTTTAGGGTTTAGGGATCTGTCACGAACCTGGCGCAGCCACTGCAGCATCCCAAAGCCGAAACAGTGTCACGGGACCTGCACTTGGCAGCCAGACCCTCGGTGGCTAAGTGGTAAAGGGGTTTAAGGGCTTTTGGGCCTTTGTTCTTTTAGGCGTTGAGGATGTAGGGTTTAGGGTTTAGGGTGAGTGGGCTTGTATGGCTTTCGGGATGTAGGGTTTGGGGTTTCTTGCTAGCTGTGCGGTATCCTTTTTGCCCTTTTGAAAAACGGTACCTATTGTCCTACGGTTAGTTGGCTACCACTGGGTTTTGGTTCTGGGTTCCCACTATAGCTACTTCTACCTAAAAAGGTATATACTTTTTTTTTCCAGAGTCTACTCAGACATAGGGACCACTAACCCTAAACCCTAAACCCTAAACCCATCATACGGTTAGCGACCAAGGACCATGGAGGAGGTGTGCCTTGATGCTCCGATGGTGCCTGGGCTGCAGGCTGCACAGCCTGGGTTGCAGCCGATCGAGGCAACCCAGCCCGCCTCGTCTGCCAGCTCAAGGACAAAGCATTGGGGTTGACTAAAACAGGGGGACCCCTAACATAGACCCCCCCAAATGGTAGGATTCCCTTATACTACGGACCCCAATAAGGTAGCCGAATTCCGGAAACCACCACATGTTCTTGGAAATCGCTTCTACTAGGCACTAACGGCTAACTGTCTGGTAGACTAACGTGTAGCAGGGGTTTCTGAGAACAGAGAGCAGCGTCAGGCCCCTCGGGCCGACGGCTACGCCCAGGGCCAAGGCCCAGGCCATGCCGGCCGCACCCCCACCGAAACCAAGACCGCTCGGACCTTTGGATGAATTCCTTGCTGCCCCCGCCACACCTGCTTCAAGCGAGAGCACCGCCGAGCTCGTGATGGCACGTGTGGCCAAGATAGGCAAGGTCCACATGACGTTCTATCCCGGCGGTGGCGACGAATGGGAGGAAGATGAGGCAGTCAGCAATTTTCTCACGACAGGCAGGCCGAAGTTTTGCAAGATGCAATGCACTTCGCACACGGAGCGTCTCCAACTCGCATTGTTGGACCAAAAGCACGGAATGGACGCAGCTTTCCTCAATGCAAAAGAGAAGTCCTTCCTGGATGCACTGAACGAGGATGAAAAGCGCAGAATGTTCTCTCTCACAGACGAGGACATGGAGAGCTTGGACGAAACAAAGGAAGGCGAAGACATCAAAATGCCAAGCTTGCCATCTTCGTCCTCGTCAGCAAAGAAGAAGACGCGGCCTTACCCTTTGTCAGAGCCTGTGGAGATGCCGGGGGAGGTAGCAGACATCATCAAGGACACTCTGAGCCGGCTCTTCAAATTTCAGTAGTCGGCCTCAGTCGGACGGTAAGGACAACATGATCTAACACGGCCCGCCTCGGCTGTTCTTAGTCGATGGTGGCTGTAGACTCGGGGGTGAGGGGACAGCGCAGTGCTGGGGGATGTTGTGCATGGTGTAAAGTCTGTAAAGTACAAAATCTACAGTTACAGGGCCCCTACTATCCCCTCGAGAGATCAGACCTGTGTCCTGAGCCACGGACAACAAGCGGGAAGCATGACCCGCGCAGTCATTCTGATTCGGGCACCTGCTTGGGAAACGAGAGATTATGACAGAAACTACCGGAGGTATTTCTCACAAAATCAGTCCTTGCAGGGCCTTGTCTTCAATGAATTCGTTTGTTGTCGACGGAGATGGAAGCCTTTGTTATTGCAACTTGTCCTTACACCGGTACAGGAGCTCTGTCGCCCTGTTTGACTCTAAGGGCCTAAGGGTTTAGGGTTTACAATAGGGTTTTGTGCTCGGATCCGGATTTTGTGCAAGGACATTTTGCAGACAATTGAGGCTCTCCTTTTATTTTGTCGTGCATTGCAAAAGGACCTTTGAACCGGCCCACTCATGACGGAAGATCGCTACTGCAGCAACCCTGAGCCCTGAATCTTCAGTGGTAGCTTTGCACGTCTTCGCTGGGCCATGCATCGTCTGAACCAGCCCACTCATGACGGAATATCACTACTGCAGCAGCCCTAAACCCTAAATCCTCCGCGGTAGCTTTCTACGCGTCTTCGCTGGGCCCTTTCGTTTCAACTGGAGTCGACGAAATGGATGAGGCCTACAGACCTTGGCGGTCTACAGGCCTCATCGGGCTGACGTTCAGAGCAGAACTGGATCTGTAAACCCGAACTACATCCTAAACTCTAAACCCTAAACCCTAAATACTAGATCCTCAATCCTACCAGTCTGGCAGACCAAGCGCTTTTCAGCTCTGGGCACCTCATCACAGTCCCAAAGGGCGCTCTCAACGGCGTCCCAAAAAGGGGGGCTCTCAACGGCCCTCTAGGCAGGGTTGCGACGTACACGGAGCCGATGGCTCCGTCAGTTCTGCTGTGCAGACCAGTCGATCTTCCTAATCTCCAAGCTACCAGGCTTCATGGTTAGGGATCAACTCTTATGATGAAGCTTCAAAGTTCAAAAGCTTGGACTCGCCTCTGGACCACCCAGCGCAGATCCTGCAACCAACAGCCGCACACGGATGCGACAAGCGACTTGACCATCATGCTTTGCCGTCATAAAAGTCGTGCATATGTGGCGTATAGCAACGAGGTTCCCGGATCCCCCCTCCCACCTAAACCCCTACCTGCACCCTATGCCCTACCTGTACATCGCCCAAACCTTCAACTCTAAACCCTCAACTCCAAACCCTAAGCCCCGAACCCCGAACCCCGAACCCCAAACCCCAAAACCCAAAACCCCAACACCCTAAACTTTAAACCCCAAACCCTAAACCCTAAGCTCTAAAGCCCTAGAAACCCCTAAGCCCCAAACTCCAAAAACCACCGGTAAAAACCCCTAAACCATAAACCCTAAACCCTAAACCCTAAACCCTAAACCCTAAACCCTAAACCGATCCCAGGATGGCCAATCGGCACATCGCCACCGCGAAGCGCCTCCCACGTGCCCTTGGTGGTGATTAGAGGGTGCTCCGGGGGGGTTAACCCTAAACCCTAAGCCCTAAGCCCTAAGCCCTAAACCCTAAACCCTAAACCCTAAACCCTAAACCCTAAACCCTAAACCCTAAACCCTAAACCCTAAACCCTAAACCCTAAACCCTAAACCCCAACCCTCAACCCTAAGCCCTAAGCCTTAAACCCTAAACCCTAAAAACGGGGTTTTGGGCTTTTTAGGGTTTCATGGGTGTTAAAGGTTCTCCGGGGGTTTCGGGGTTGGGGGTGTTGGGGGTTGGGGGTTGGTGCTTGGGGGTTTCAGCCTTTTTAGGGCCTCGGGTGATGGGGGTTTTGGAGTTTCGGGCTTTTTAGGGTTTCGGATTCTGGGGGTGTAGGGGTTTTGGGGCTTTTTAGGGTTTCGGGTTTTGGGGTTTCGGGTTTAGGGTTTTGGGGTTTTGGGGTTTCGGGGTGACGCTTCTGGGTTATCGGGACTCTACGCGGGTTTGCGGGGCTCCACGCGGAGTGGGGTGATTCAAGACGCGTGTTGGGGAAGGAAAATGAAGGCTTGACGTCATGGCGGCCTGGCACTTACCTTAATGGTTCCCAACAGGGGATCAGAAGATACCCTATCAAGGCACTTACAGGGCAACATAGGGGGATGTAAGGCAACTCGGAATTTTCTAGAGCTAGTAGGTGTCATCCCTGAACGTCAGTTGCGCGTCAGGCTCGGAGCCCGCATGTCCACAAGTGCAGAAAGACAGGAGTGTTTTGTATCTTCCGGATTTGGGGTTTAAGGTTTCGGGTTTAGGGGTTGGGCTTTGGCTTTGTGTTCTTGATTTACGGCGAAATGTACAGCAGCTGTATTTACATACAGCTTGAGTTGTATTAAATCATTCGGTTTATTTAGCAAATCATTTGGTCATGTTTGTGGTGTTTGGAGCGCGAAGCCTCACTGTTCAGGGGAACAAAAAGCCCTAAACACCGTACACCGCAGCCCTAAACCCTGAACCCTGAACCCTGAACCCTGAACCCTGAACCCTAAACCCTAAACCCTAAACCCTAAAAAGCCGAAACTGAGGTTTTCTCAACCCTTTCCCTGATGGCCTGTCTCTGCTGGAAGCGCTCGCGGTGCTGGTCGTGGTGGTGTTCTTCGCAGGACCTTCCCTAGGCCCCAAAGCCCTAGACCGCTAAATCTCCAAAACCCCTAGTGCCTACATCCCCTAAACCCACGAACCCTAAACCCCCGAATCCCGCAAATCCCTTAAACCCCTCAGGCCACTCAAACCCCTTAAATCCCTGAAATCCCTTCCACGAAATCCCTGAAGCCCTTAACTGCAACCCAACGCCTTCTGTGTGGTGAGGATGGTTTGGCTACTGGTACTGGGGCTACGACAGGCTCGGGGGCTGCAGGAGTTGGTTTGAGAGATTTAGCCGGGCTAAGGGCTGGATCATCCTAAACCCTAAACCCTAAACCCTAAACCCTAAACCCTAAACCCTAAACCCTAAACCCGAAACGTCTGACTTTTGGCCTGCTAACCGAAGATACCCTGAGCTGGCAGCTTCGATCGCCGGAACCAAACCCGAAACCCGATGTTTCGCTAACATGAACCTCCAAGCAGGGTCGAGTCTTTGTACTGTAGGAGGGGCACCAAGCCCCAAACCTTTAGAGGGGGCCCTTAATCCAGTTGCGAGTCGAGTAGTTCCAACGCGCGGTCTCCCAAGGCCTCCTAGGTTCCCTAAACCCTAAGCCCTAGGCCCTAAACCTGCCGCCCCGCTCACTTGGAGGTTCCGAAAATAGGGATACCTTTGTTGGTGGTCCTTTTTAGGGGATTTTATTGTATTTGGGGTTATAAAAGGGGCACGCCTATTTTTGGACATGCGCGG